GGTATCGTTGATGGATCCATCTCGTACCTCTTCTCATCAGTCCCGCTTCGACTTCTTTTGACACCGCAATCCGAGACGGTCAATCTTCCGGAGCTTTTGCGCTCGTACAGACCTCTCACCGAACTCCCCCACCGAACCAATCCTCTCCTCCAGGCACCGAAAGATAAACCGGAATCTTCACTCCTATATGGTCGACTCTACCTGCCCCAATCACAACTCGAAGCTCTGTTTGTCAAACGACTGTCACCTGCGCTCCAGGTTCAGCTCAGTTCTGTATCTGCCCAGCACCTTAAGAACGGCGGCACTGTACTAGGCCTGGCGCAATATGACGTAGGAAAATATGCGCTCGAAGGACTGGCATCTTCAGATGGAGGACTACTTGGTTTCCGGGGCGTGTATAATTTCGGCGGCGATGCCGAGAAGCCCGAGGACCAGGCTGTTAACGACAATGGAAACGCCGATAGGGAAAGGATCTATGGTCGGTTCAGCACCGGTGGAGAAATCTACTACGGCACCCTGAACAATACGGGTGGAATCAGCGTGGGAACCCGATTTGCAACGTTACCCGCGCACAAGGGGACGCCTTTATCTGCTACGTTGACACTGAATCCCTTGATGGGTAACATCAGCGCAAGCTATGCCGTGGTGGCCGGCCGGCACTGTAGTCTTGCTACGCGGATGGAGTTCAATGTGTTCAGCTACGAAAGTGCTTGGGCTATTGGTATGGAGCTCTGGCGGAAACCATTTGCCCGACCGGTTCTCGAGGACGAGCCAGTCATTGATGACAAGGTGGTTATTGACGACAAACCAGAGGTGAAGCGGCCAAAGGAGCGCAGCTTTCAAGCCAAATTGGAATGGCGTCTGGATGATCCCGAACCAGTTATCGTCAAGCCAACGCCACCGCGTCCCCCTTCACCCCCAAAGGAGGAGATAGATCCTGAAAAGCCCGGAGAGGAGAAATATGCAGGCGTGCTCAAGACTCGACTTGACCAAAACATGCGAATAGGGGTGCTGTGGGAAGGGCGGGTCAAATCTCTCCTATTCAGTCTCGGAAGTTCGATCGACTTGAACAAGCTTGACAAGCCATTCCGAACGCTCGGATTGGAAATTCAGTTTTCATCATGATCGGATACTAAACATAGGCTCTGTCATCTACTTGACTACTGCAGGACGACAATAGCCTACTACTGCAGTCGGCCCGTAGGATCATGTCAACATGCTCTATGTGGTAGCTCATATGTGTGATGCAGCTGGATCAACGATGGTGCATATCAACGGGAATATCGACCCGGAAAGTGGTTTAACACTGCAGATGTCGGTGTTTTGTATCGGTTAGGTTGGGTGTATTATCATGAGCATCTCAATGGCGTTACGGGTTTGAGGCATTGCTTTTCAAGGGGCATAGATTTGGAATTGGCGATTGGCGGCATAGTACTTGTCCCATTACTACTGTTTATTTGTCAACTCTTCTCTGACAGCATCCAACATCAGCTCTTGATGACTCTCATGTGACAATCCTTGTATGAATGACTGTTTATGCATAAGTGCAGCCAACTCAAGACACACTCATCGTTCAGCTGAACCGTTTGGAGATGCCGTTAGAGCCGATTGCAAGACCTTTTGGCGTTTTTAATTGCGTGGGCGCTTCTGGCTTGGACATGGATCATGCCCGCTGATTGAGAACCTTGATAGTCTCCGCGCTCTCCCCCTCGGGGGCGGGAAAACAGCGAACTTTTACATAGGGTGTCAAAATAAACTTAGTCAAAGCTATCCTAAGCTTAGGCTAAATTGCCTAAGTCTTTTTGTCATTTAGGATCAAGGTCCTGTGTTTTCTTTCCTCCCCTAGGCTCTCTCCGGAATGTCAAGTGTGGCGGCTGGAGTTAGAGAGCCAATAAGATGTCTGCTGATTGATAACGGGTAATGACGCCACACCTTGAGATTGAGGCTCTTTTAAACATTGATTCCATTTGTGTGACGCTCACTGCAACCTAAAGTGACTCATGGTCAGGGACAGCCATATGAAATTTGTAACAATGCTGACTATCATATGATCCATTTCTTCTAGCAAACACACTCGTGTTACGGAGTACTATATGATAATTGTACCTGAAGAGTCACCAGCCACGGCTTAGAAACCTCTAAAGCCCGAAACGGTACTAGCCGAGCTTTACGAGGCTAACATGGCCATCAAGGTCCTCACCTTAATTCGACCCACTCCCACCTCAAACCACCACGTTCGTCTTTTTCCACGGCTCAATCTTCAACCAGAGACACAATGTGCTATCACATCTCAAGTCACACCTTTTGGTCACAGTGGATCATGACGGTGATGCCAAGGAATGTGGCAGTTGCCGAGTTCCATGTTCCTGGGTCGTGAATAACCAACTCTCCGAGTGTTACAGAGAATCGGTCATTGGAGTGAATTATTGAAGAGAGTAGCGAAGCGAGTGATTAAAACACGGTTTGTGTTAGAGTTCATCCAGCGGACCTGGGGCCGAAGAGGGTCTAATGCAAAACGTTATCAGTTGTGCTGAGTTTTCTTGTCTTCAGGACCAGAGTCTAGAAGCTTTGCATATGCGAATTCTATCACTTGATGCAACGATGTTTCGCTTCTCTGCTCTCTATTTCTTAACCTTATTACTTTAACTTTAACACTCATCATAAGCATCATAAGCATATGTCCAAGAGATACCACACCTATCTCGTTAGTAGTAACTATATATTGACCCAAGGGACCCCTGGTCCAAGACAACCCACCCTTCAGTATCAACCATCCCACGCGCTTGCGGCTCGAACAAATCTAGTCTACAGCCTTCGGCAACTCGCTTCCGTCCGCTGGCCCTTCTGTCAAGCTAAACCTGGTCAGTTAGGTCGGGTTGCCCACTTTCTATAAGTCGAGTCTGCGCCATCAAGGTTCGTTGCGAATTTCGACGTCTCTTGTTATTTGGCACGTCACGCAACGCTCGCTATATTATAAAAACATCGCAACTCGCAGGTTTATCGAGAATTGCAATCAGCTTCAGGCCAAGCAAACAGTTCAACAATTAGCGCGCATCTTGGCGTTTCGACTCGTTCGAATCATACAGCGCGATTATCCTTGGCCGCTTCCTTTTTAGGGAACAACGCATCTATATAATCCTTGGCTTCGCATCTTTGCGCCTTGGCATTTGACGACATATTTTCCGACTACAACCTCACATCGCCTATCACCTACAGGCCCGCACCTATTTTCTGGGTCTCGCGCTTCCTATAAGACCTTGCTCCCTGATTCTTTACCTTTATCCTTCTCAACATCCATTAATTGACAAGATGGCCGACGCGGATACCTGTAGCGGCGAGGCCGTCGATCTCGGCCGACGAGGTCTTCGAATCGGCTCTATTTTCATCATCATGGCCTCTTCGGCTATCGGCGCTCTCTTGCCCATTTTCCTGGCACGCCAGAAGACAATCCCTGTACCTAAGATGACCTTTTTTATTTGCAAGTTCATCGGTACTGGAGTCATCATAGCGACGGCTTTCATGCACCTACTCGTTCCCGCTGTCGAGAACTTGACCGACCCGTGTCTCGAAGACCGCCTGGGCGGTTACGATTGGGCTGAAGCCATCGCGCTCATGACCGTCATTGTCATGTTCTTTGTCGAAATGCTCGCCGCTCGTCTCAGCAACGCCGACATGGAGCACAACCACTCAATGGAGTTTGACCACGAGCTCGATCCTGCTATGGACTTTATCGCCAAGAAGCAGCCCAGCAACCCTGACATCGAGAACGGTGATCGTAGGGGGTCTGGCTATGCCCCTGGTGGTGACAGCCATCTCGCTCACGGTCGTGAGCACAAGGAGGGCGATGCTCAGGGCGGGCTTGCCGGTCAGCTGCTCGCCATATTCATTCTCGAATTCGGTGTCGTGTTCCACAGTGTCTTTATCGGTCTTACTCTCGGCACGATCGCCTCCGACGAGCTTACTGTTCTCTTGATTGTCCTCGTCTTCCATCAGATGTTCGAAGGTCTCGGTCTCGGTTCTCGTCTGGCTGTCGCTCCTTGGCCCAGTAACCGACAGTGGATGCCCTATCTGCTGGGCTGCATCTTTGCTCTATCAACTCCCATTGGTATCGCGGCTGGCATAGGAGCCAAGCCCAACAACGCCAACGACCAGAAGCTTACAAACGGTATCTTCGACGCTATCAGCGCCGGTATTCTCATGTACACTGGTCTTGTAGAGCTCCTCGCCCACGAGTTCATGTTCAACCCTTACATGCGCAAGGCTCCTATCAGGATTCTGTTGCTCGCATTTGCATGCGTTGCCTTCGGTGTCACTGTCATGGCTATTCTTGCCAAGTGGGCTTAAAGGAGATTCCTGTGAAAAGAAGGTGGCTAAAATGGATATTCTCGAGGTGTATACTCGAACAAAGTTGGGTCATAATAAACTCATTGGCATTGCGTTAGACGGATAGAATTGATACCTGGTCTGTTTCTTCGACCCTGTTACTGTTAGTGATGGCTAGGAAATAGAGCCTTTTTCTTTCAACGCTTGAAACCGATGAACAGTGAATCTCCTCGTGTTTGCATTGTTGAAGATTGTCAACAGCAAGTGACGTAGACGTAAAAGTAACGGTAACAACTTGGAGCCACGTGGGAGTGAATAGTTGCACAGATGCCACAGATGATCAGGGCCCAATCACTTACATGAATATGTGCCTAATTTGGATATTGGTTCAACCTCAGTGGTGATGTTCAACACATGAGCTCCACTCTACAATACAGTGCACAAACCTTAGCACTGTATATAGCACTGTATCCAGAAATGTGGGACTAGCCAATCAAAGCGCGAAAAAGAAGAAAATTTCTGTGTGCTGTCAAAATAGGGCAGGAATTAAGCGACAGTCGATTTCGATCACGATTTTAGCAAAGTGATCTTTGAGCTCAACTTATCGCGACGCTTCGACAACCACACCCAACGACCAAACTCCCTTTCACCCACCCAACCCCAACAATACCGCAAAAATGGCCGGCGGAGTTACCGTTCGCGATGTCGATGTAGGTACTCCCTGAAAAACAAAAAACCCATCATAGGAAACGAAATACTCTTCGAAAATATCACACGATCTCTACTCGACGACTTGGCGACGCAATCTTCCAAGAGAACCGCTTGCCCGCCATGGCGCTGACGCAGCACGATTATTATATATATACCAAATATTAATTGAAACGCTGTGTCGGCTGCTGTGTTCAAGGGGCTGGGTACAAATGGGATTGAGGAGCAGGCGCGAGGGAGTCGAAAGACTTCTGACGACGGAATCATGCTAATGGGTTTTGTGACTGCAGGCGCAGAAGTTCATCACTGCCTACTCTGCTTTCTTGAAGCGTCAGGGCAAGCTCCCCATCCCCGGTAAGAACCCTGAAACATTTAGATGATTGTGAAATACTGACTTTCTCAGGTTGGGTCGATACCGTCAAGACTGGTCCTGCTAAGGAGCTCCCTCCCCAGGACATTGACTGGTTCTACGTCCGTGCCGCCTCCATCGCCCGCCACGTCTACCTCCGCAAGACCGTCGGTGTTGGCCGTCTCCGCAAGGTCCACGGCACTGCCAAGAACCGTGGCAGCCGTCCCTCCAAGCACGTCGATGCCTCCGGCTCCGTTGACCGAAAGGTCATGCAGGCTCTTGAGAAGATCGGTGTCCTTGAGCAGGACGAGGACAAGGGTGGCCGCCGCATCACTCAGGCCGGACAGCGTGATTTGGACCGAATTGCCCAGACCACCGCTGAGGCCGAGGAGGAGGAGGATGACGAGTAAACTAAAAAAACTGGCGGTTTCCGGTCAAAGTCAAAGGTAGCAATGGCAATGGAATTGGGCGTTGGGTCATAGATTTTGTCATGTATGAATGAGATTCCCCCGACACTGGGTCATTCGGTTTGGTCAAATTGGACCCGTCCAACTTTGTCGTTCATTTTATGGTCGATCTGCTATTGTGAATGTGTATCCTGAATGTGCCTATGTGTTTCATGCTAGTAGCTTTCACTCAAGTTGTGAAATAATTTCATTTACCCCTCTTTATCCCCTCTTCTCCCCATGATCTCTCCCTGATCTCTTTTCAACACCACCTCCTGGAGATAGGGTTGAGGCAAGCCGAATCTTTGCTCGCCCTGTCCCCTTTTCTCTTCTTCATTTCTGTGTATCTTCAACATCTCATGAGATATTCTCTGAGCTTAAGTATTTCTCTTCTCTTAATCTTTGCAAAGTGAGGTTATCGCGAGTTCTCTAACTTGGTTTCTTCAAAGCGCCGAGCTTCTCTATTTGCAACTCCATTTCCACGTGTTACGAGTTTATTCTCCCTGTTTAATCTCGAAGCATAATCTCATACTGTCAGTTATTGGCCCGGCTTTAAAGAGTTGTGCGAGTTCCTCTCGAGAGCACAACTTGTGCAAAGCGCATCATCAAATTTATCCACGTTCGTTGAAGCATCCCTGAATCACGATGCATTATACCCTTCACTCTCTTCACTAAAATCTGCTTCTTGAGTGGAGTGATCTGTAAGTGTGTTATAACTTCAACTCCAAGTCCTCGGCTCCTTCATGAAACTCATACACTACTTCAAGACACTCATACACCTTTCACTCACAGGCACCACTCCCCTTTCCAAATTTTCAAAATGAACACACCGCAATCGGAAGTGTCGAGCTCGGAGGAAGTTGAAGAGGTTCTTCCAGTCTTTGTGTCTGCTATCAGCAACCCATCACCCCTTTTATACTTCCACCATGTCATCGACCCCGATACCACAAAGCTCACAGCTCAAGTTCTCGGGGCTAACATCTCCTTCGTCTTCAGCCATCGTCGAGCAAAGAACTTTCTCTGTAGATCCTCGATTGAAGCACAACTCGAAAACAAAACCACAGGGTTCGTTTCCATTGTGTCTGCAACATCTCGCCGTGTTGTCTTAGCAGCAGCTGAATCAGGTCATGGTCTTGGAAAATACGGCGATGTGTTGGACAAGAAGAAAGGCATTCTTCCAAATAGTATTTGGACCAGGCGAGTCGTGTCCATGGGTAAGGCCCTTGGTATGAACATGAGAAGTCCGTTTGACGACCCCACCGGCTGCAGAAGGGGAAACATGGAGGGTATCTTTCGCGGGTCTCACGTTGAAGTTAAACTCGCCGTTCATGGTATCTGCGTTCTCCTTCAGACTTTCGAAATCACAAAAGACTTTAACAACGTCACGATGAAGCAACTGAACCAACTTCGACAAGCTCGCTGGGAAGATGGGTCTCGACCAGTTCTCGAAGTGTATTTCTCCAGAAAGTATTGCAAACCCTGCAAGTCTCTTGTGCAGAAATTGCAAGATGCCACTGGAGTTACCATCAGACTTGTATGGAAGCCTCGCCTCGTGATGAAGAAGTACATCATCAGGCCAATTGATAGAAACCGAAAACCTGGCGAGCCTCTACAAGCACAGGAGTTTGAGCCTCAAGACTACGACTTTGGAGACGTTCTACCTGATGATTCTGACATAGAAGTCATATCCGACGACGAGGATGCCAAAGAAGAGGTTGACAAGATTGACCTTACCCACATTCGATCGACTTCACCAATTTCATGGAATCAAGAGATCGATGATTATCTGGATGGTCTCGCTTATAGAGTAGGCCAGATGCAAGACTGCCCAGAAGGTGCCAGATCAGCCATCGTCGAGTTTGCCAGTATCAGAGTCAACGCCAAGAAGTCTCTCGATGCTGCAAAAGTCAGCAAGCCCCTACCAGCGACGCCGGTTATAGAAGCACCAGCAGATTTCCTCGAGGGTGATGATCGACAGCGGCAACGACATACGTTTCCTTGTGCGCAGAAAAGACTGTTTCGTGGACCAAAGGATCTGAATGACTCGAGAGCAAGAAGTGTTTCTCCCAGACGCCGGGCACAGTCAGTCAGAGACCGCTCACCACGAAGATACAATCCGGGGCCATTGGGACGCCATGCGACGGAAGCTCCTCAAGGGAGGTCTTCGGCTAAAGCCACTTCACTATGTCGCTCTATTCGTTGATTCAACGTCACCAGAAGACGAAGAGGTGCTCTACGAGAATTCTTATACAGATGAAGCATATGGCAACTATCTGAGTGCTGTTGAAGGACAAAGAAACTATGTCAAGGCACCACAAAGTTTTTGGAAGGCTGAAGCCAACAATGTCTGTGTGAGATCAAGAATCTACTATACTTCTCAAACCGCGAAACGAGAGGATACTGCAAAGATCTATCACGAAAGGGGGCACATTTGTCAGAAGATCACAGGATCGATGTATTATCAAGTTCATGATTTCACAGCATTATCTTAGTTTTGGTAAAACTTGCTATCAACTGTTTCCCTTGTATCCATGTGTATTCGTTGCTTCTGTTATTCATGAGACCTTCGCTTGTGTATCACTTCAACCCGTATTACTTCATATCCTTTCCAGAGCTCTCTTGTAGCAGCTTCTTAAATCCACCTGCCAGCTCTTTTATCACCACATTTACATCGGGAGCTTCAGGTCCCTCCTCAGCTTCCTCGATCGCTGCTTGAAGGGCTTCTTCTCTCGCCTTTTCCGTGCCTTCAACTCCAATCTTACCCATAGTAAGAGCATTCTTGACATCTTTTCCATGTCTGACGGGCCCCTTTGGTTTTTCTGGTGTTATAGCTGTGTCTTCTAGTAGGCTCTGCCATCGAGAGAGATACATGCCTGGGCCTGACATGTTGCCTGATTCTGAATCATCAGAGTCGATGATGCGCTGTAGGCGACAGAGAGAAAGGGCCTCGACTTGAGCAAGGTATGCTGCGTGGTTATCCAATGAAACGAGAACGTCCTTTTGAGACTTCTCAGGAACCGACTGGAATAACTTATTCAGTTGATCTTCCATGGTACTCACATCAATAGTACCATTAGTCGCCTGCTCTCCAGCTTCGGCATTGCTCGTCTTTTGCACAGGCTTTCTTTCCTGGCGAAACTTTAGTACGGCATCGTTGGTCCATTTCTTCATCTCTTCCCAAACATCAGGACATGATGCTGCAAACGCGTGAACCCATCTATACATGAGCTCTCGGTTTCTCATGAAAAGACCAACGTAATCGTCCACGGTTGGCATGCTACCGTCCTTCTTCGGCTTACCAGCCTTGATAAACTCGTCGATGAACAATTGGCCCGCTTCGACATGCTCCCGCAAATCTATCTGGGAGTGTACCATACGGATCATAGGTTCATAGGCGGCAAATAGATCCTTGATAGTCGCGGTAAAGAGATCGGGAGGCTGGCGACAGAAGGCTGTTGTGATGCTTTCACGATCGCGCACGGAGAGAAGAGCAGAATAATACTCTAGACACTGCGCGTGCTTCTGATCATCAAGCTGAGTTGCTAACGTAGGATTGGACCCGTTGAAAATGGCAGTGATAATTGACTGAGCATGTTGCTCGCTGGCATTACGAACCGTCTTATGCTCATCGCGACTCATAGCGATATACTGACGAATAGCCTCGAGCATTTCGTCACTCGGTCGATCCTTAGCTCTCTCAACCTTGTCTGCGCTCTTCCGAAACTCTCCAGCATCCCACGACAAAACTAATGAGATGATCCGCTGCAAGAGGTTCATGCCATCATCGGCATTGGCGGTCAAGCCGATCCAGTTGGTGACGCTCGTAACGCTCAACTTTGCAAGGAGTAGGCGTATCATGGCGCTAATCATACTAGCAGCATTGCCCATCCGTAACGTCTGCTTGACCATTTTGTAGGGGATGAGGTTGTGAACGTTTTCGAGTAGTTTGAGGAGATATTGGCCTTCTGGAGAGAGGACAAAAATATGGTGGATAAAGGTAGCGAGGCTTTGCTTTTGTTAGTGGGAGGTGGTATATCTCATATGGAACTTACTGGATGATGGCGTATTCAGCTGCTGCTCCAATGACTGGCGAATGACTCTCGAGATCTGAAGTTTTGCTGAAATGATCAAACATCTCATCTGCCAAACCTCCATATACCAAGCCCTCAACAACATCATCCCACGCCTTTACCAGGTCTGCGGCCTTGGTCCGATCGTACTCAACCTTGTTATCTGAAGGCTTTTCGGGTCGATTTGTTTTCTTGACACCGCCAAGAACTCCTCGGCCAACCATCTCAAGAAGTCCACTCGACCCAGTCGCAAGCACCTTTCTCGTCCCCAAAGCACCCTTATCATAGCTCTCTGAAAGTTCTGCCTCTCCGAGTCTGGTCAACAAGCCTTGTACTCTAATAGACCAAAACTCGCGTGGTAGATCTCGCACACCCGGAAGTTTTAGAATGAACCGCGTTAACATGGTATGAAGAATAGGTGATGAAGAAGGTTTCTTATCGTCATCATCGCTAGGAGTTTCCTTGACGTCTTTTGCGGCTCCTTGCTTTGGCGTTCCTGGTCTTGAGCTCACAGGTGTTCCCGCCCAGCTTCTCCATCCTGTGCTTGCGGGTGCGCTTTGCGTAGTTTGAGGTTCAACCGTTGCTCTTGAGAAAGGATAGCCATAGCCCGTGACTGCATCCGGATACTTGAAGCTCTGTATTTCTGCGTATGTTTCGTGGTGTGTGAGGATATCAAACAAGGCATGCACCTGCTCAGGTGCGAGATTTGTAGACGTCATGATATCTCATTTCACATCGAGGGCATGCGACGTAGAGAGGAAGGGAGATGAGTCTTAGTAAATAGACGTGTGAGATGTTATTTTTTCAGCGGCTTTGGATGGATGTGATGAAATGCTCCAGTGGTCTCAGTGGATACAGTGTCTGTTGTAAGAAAGTTCCACTGACTTTTAGTGGAGGATTTACTGTTAAACTTTCGATCAATGAATAAGTGAATGAGGCCTCAAAGGGCAAGAATCATGGAGTGCCATGCCATACCTTCATGGTGTGGTGACGTAGTCTTGAGGCTGTACTCGCTAAACCTTTTCTGTACAACCCCCACTATGATCATTGACGTTTGACTACAGCTTCATATTTACCTCATTCTGTACAACTTGTTCCGATAAGACCTTTCATCGCATACAAGGCCGACTAAAATACTTCGAGAAGACTTGCTTTTTTCAACGCTGTATAACACATCACTTCACAATGGAACAAAACATTTAAGGTAAAGAAGTCAATTTCAACTATCAACCAATCGTGTATACCCTCGTGACAAAGGAAACGGCCGTCACATCACTAATTAATAAAACCTGTAGTTTTCCCTAGCCAAGCACAATACTCGCATCGTGCTTTATCCGCCCATCGTCATTGCTTCCAGTGTGGTATCAAAAACAAAGAGAATAAAGACAACTCAAGTACATGAGCATGGGTATAACGTCAACAATCCTCCCCTATTATTTTTCCTGTGCCTAATTGGCATTTCCGTCACATTGGATTTAAACGGGGTTGATCTGGCCAGTAGGCAGGCCGGTCTGGCCGTTGGTGAAACCAGCAGGGTGCTTGCCATTAACAGCACCGTTACCGATCTGGAGACCGTTACCGCCGTTCAACGCACCATTACCAGTGTGGGTGTTACCTCCAGCAGGGTAGAAGTCGTAGTCAGCGTTGGAAGTGTTCTTAGGTCCAAGGTCTGACACGGGATGAGCCTTGCGCTGGATCTTGGGAGCGGAAGGAATGTCAGTGCTCTTCTTGGCGGAGCCGATAGAGAAGACAGGACTCTCCCACTTGTCACCCTTGCGCGCAAGCTCCTTGTACTCGGTAGCCTTGGTGCTGATGCCACCAGGGAGGTCGATGTTGGGGAAGATGCTGTCCTCCTTGGTCATGGCAATGTTGGCCTTCTTGTCAGAAGCAGCCGCCTCAGCCTTCTTCTTGCCCTTAGTGAACTGCTGCTGGGCAGCGGTGTAGTAGCGGTTGTAGATGTTGGGAGCGTTCTCGGGGTTGCTCTTGGCCTCAGCAGCAGCACGGTCAGCCTCCTGCTTCACCTGGAACAGGAGCTGGTCGAACTTGTTGCACTGGTCCTTGATAGCCTTCTCGACAGCCTTCTGCAGAGGAGGGCGGATAACCTTGAGCATGAAAGGCTTGAACAAGGAGAAGAGCAGCTTATGGTTGGACTTCTTGACCTTGATCTGCAGCTTGTTGAAGTCAACATCGACCTTCTCAACCTTGAAGTAGTTCTGGCGATCCTTCTTGTCGGCGGTAGACACCTTCATCTTGAATGAAAAGCCATCACCAGGGAGGATGATGTCAGCAACACCAGTGTCGGTGATGGAAGGGAAGCCCTGCTTGCGCTTGATGTGGAAGCTCACATCACGAAGATCCATCTGGATGCCAGCAACCTTGACCTCAACGGTCTGGTGATTCTTGTTGGCGATCTTCTTGCGGCCCCATCGGAAGTAGTGCTCGCTGGAGACCTCAAAGATGTTGGGGGCAAAGTTGTCACTCTCGAGGACTAGGTTCTCGATGATAGCATCAACCTGGGAGTCGGTGTACTCAATTCGGGGAATGGGGATGTAGGCAATGTTCTCAAGAGCGGCCGGGAGAATAACATCCCTCAAGTCCTTGAGCAGGTGAGGCTTGAAGACAGGCTTACCATCCTGGTCGTTGCCAAGGTCCTTGAACAGCTTCTGGAGAGACTCGGCAAAAGCATGGTTCTGAGGGTCCTGATCGAACTGGTCGGCAAGGAACTTGATCTCATCGACAACACGGTCGGTGTGACCGCGATATTTGTTGCGGAGGAGGTATCGTCCCTGGTCGTAGAGCTGATCCCACTCACGAGTGGACTCATCCTCGAGGATGTAACCTTGCTGAAGGAGGCATCGGCGGATGTAAGAATCCATAGCCTTGAACCAGTCCTTGAGCTCACGGTCGTTATCAGCGTCGCGGTAGATCTGGCCGATGGCCTCCCAAAGATCCTCAGTGGAGGTGCCGTTGGCGAATCGCTCAATGATAGTGCGGAGGTCACGCTCAGCGGCAGCAAGGCCACCGCGTGCGTCCTTAGCAGTGTCGGTAGAGCCCTGGCCAAGAGTGCGGCCGTGGCGGCTGTAATTCTCAGCCAGGCGAAGAAGAGTCTGAATGGCCTGAGAGTAGTCCTCATGCTGCTGGCACTCGAGAATCATCTTCTTGAGACGCCAGATGGTCTGGTCCTTACGCTCCTGGGGCATCTTCTTATCGAAGTAGTTGCGGGCCTTGCGGCGGTACTCCTCATTGCGCTGCAGGATGTTCTCCTTGGTCTCAGGATCGACCTTGTTGTCGAGCTTGGCCTCAGCAGCCTGCTTAGCGGCACTCTTACCAGCCTGGGGGTCGGTCTGGCGAGCGGCGTCACGAGCGGCGTCGGTTGAGGCAGGCACGGAGTTGGAAGGCACATTGCCAGTCTCGGTACCGGTGGTAACCTGAGGGTAAGTACCCTGTTGAGCATTGGACTGCTGGTTCTGCTGGAGCTGTCCGGGAGCGGCAGCGTTGATACCAGCGGAAGCAACGTCCTTGGCATCTTCCTTGGGGTTTCCACTGTAAAAGCCCTTGGCCTGCTGCTTCAGGTTGTCCTTGGAAAAATCGGGAACCTCGTGCCAGACATTGTCCTGGGCAGGCTCGTCGATCTGTCGGAGCTGCTCCTGAGAGGGGCGGACACGGGCAGCGGCGTTGGTAGCAGCATCGCCAGCCATATCACGGAAGAGGACTGTGGCATCAGAAAGAAGCTTTCGGAATTGTCCGTTGGTGATAAGAAGCTGGCCAAGGGTTCTCAAACCCTCAAGAGCTTGGTCACCATCCTGCTTAGCAGCATCCTTGCTGATGGGGGCATTGGGTGTGTTGACACTCTTGGGGTCGAACTGAGTGGTCTGCCAGATGAAATCCTGAATCAGGTTGCCCTCGTTCTTGGAGAGAAGGAGGTGCTTGGCTTGCTGAATGGCGTTGGCAGCGTCCTTGACGAGCTGTTGACCCTCAGCGGAGAGCTTCTCGTGGCGACCAGAGAGGGCGCGAGAAGCGAGAAAACTGTTTAGAGCGACATCGATTTGGTCGTTCTGGAGGAGAATGCATTAGAATGTGAGGAAGAATGGGATCGCGCAGAGAATACTAACCGAAGGGACCTTGCCATTCTGGAAGGCAGAAATGATACCATAGACTTGGAGCTTTCGGTTGACATCGGCCTCCTTTGTCTTGATGTCTGTAGGTTTGTTGACGTCTGGGGCACCGGGCATGATGGGCAAAAGTGTATGGGGTATCTCGTTATTAAATCGTTATGCCACCGGAAAGTATGACGTTAGAAATGTTAGGACGGTAACTCTTTTTTAGAGTTAAGTTCAGGTGACGATGATGCAGTGGATAAGAGACGAAGCAGAAGTCGATCTTATTATGAGAGGGGTAGGAAGCGTTGCGAAGCGTAGCGTAGACGTAGGTAACAAATGAAGAAGCTGTTGTTTGGTATCCTCTGGTAAGGGATGGGTATCACAGAGCAGTTGGGTATTGTATTAGGTAGGAATTGGTATTGGACGGGGTATGAAATAGAGAAAGAGCTCCTGGTACGAGGCAGGAGAGAGACAGGATTAGATATACTTTTCTAAGGGAGACCGCCCGTGACAGGCAGGTACGAGAGTTACACGGTAATGGCTGGATCCGGGCAAAGGTTGGCTTGTTCTTGGCTGGGTTGGGCTGGGCTGGAGAAAGGGAGTGTGAGGTAGTGTGGTCAGTGACGTTGACGTTTGCTAAGGGCGACGATGTTGATCGAGGACGTCATCGGTCGATTCACACAAAGATGCCCTCCACTGTGTTGACCAGGCCCAGCGCCAACGCACGCTACTGGCCAGGCCACAGACCAATTTTACAGTACAGGCACCTCGATGCGCTATCGTTTCTGTCTGGGCACTGGCATTGGCACTGGCATCGGCATACATTCATTGAATCACTGATTTCTGCTACCCCCCTGCTTGGCTATGACACTCAAATCCGGAGCGAACCCTACGGCCAAACAAGGTACCCTACCAACTTGAGCAGGGGTCGAGCAGATGATCGAGCTGCAAACAAGCGGAAAAAAGGGAAGGGAAAGTGTACCAGGGCAGCAGCTGAAGATAACAAGGGTGGGCTCTAGACTCTTTTGCATTGCGATGATGCTGCTGTTTGATCCCCAATTAAAGGCGTTTCGAAGCGTCAGGGGAGACGGGTTAAGCCTCGTTGTTTATACCCTTCGCGATGCTACCTCGACGACGATCTAGACCTCTTGACCAGCAACAAGATGACAACCGTTGATGATCGCAAGCCACGGCTTACTCTTTGCTGCTGGTGATCTTATTTATTCAATTCACTGTCTAGATAATGGGCCCATAAAGAAGGTTGCCCCAGGGAAACCCATCAAATGTTGCGACATGTCTCACAGTCCCCTGGCTGGTTCGCTGAATCAAAGCCTGGTAAGACAGCACTACGGGCACCAGTCTAGTCAAATGCAAGGTGCATTTTTTCTCTCTTTCATCTGCTTGCTCTGCCAAGGATCGGTCGGTGGTGCAGGTCTGACTCTGTACGTCTGGTCTTCCTGAATTCTTGTGTCTTGCGTGCTGTTACTGAACCGAAGAAAGTGACATGGCTTTGGCATTGACTTTGGCATTTGACTCTGACGTTGTATCTCCAAAATTTGATATCTTCTTATTCCCGAGGTCCTCTCCGGATCGCCAATGTGGATTCCGTCGATGATCTGCCCTGTCCAAGCCTGTCCCATGATATAATTCCCAATGGGAATCCCACCTTGCAGAGCTGATGCTGAAGGAATCGACAAGGATGTCAATGAGCCTCCGATTTCTTTTCTGCCCGTCAACTAAAAAACAAGGATGCCCTTTCTTGGCTGGAATGATGAATCTTAAAGCTGGCAGATGGAGCTCGAGGAAGCTGTTATTGTTTAGCTCGCTCCCCACGTTCTCCACTGACTTTTAACATGATGGCCTCATAGGTAAACCCCAGCTCCTGAGCTCATGAGCAAATCGTCATAGCTCAATTTCCAGACCCAATGACACGTAATGGCCTAATTTGACGTTTTGTTAATTGAAGCCGACACATCGCGTGCCCTGATTTCCGCCTTCATTTCCTAATTCTCTACGGCTGCTGTACGAGACTGGGTATGGTAGGTTAGACTAATCTCCAGGTTAATTAACTGGCCGCGTGGGCTGATCTTGATCGTGGCCAATGCCGCGATCGTGTCAAAGCTTTCGTTAGCTCAACGTTAAAGTGAGCGCTTCATGACGTCACACCATAGCTTGAGCTCCCAAGAAAAAAGAGAACCGACGTCAGGTCTGCTAGGGTTTCATCACAACCCAAAATCGGCATCAGGATGCCATGAATTAGGAAAATTTCCAAGAGAAGATGGTGTCGAGCTACGGCAAGGATTGCATCGAATCTGGCTGGCATCTGGATACGGCATATCCAACAACTGGACGATATCATCACCAAGCATCCAATCCATGGAGCTGTCTCTTCAGTCACATTAACAGTGCAGTTGCATCAGCGCTGTCGAGGCAATTCCCGCGTAAAACAACCACAACCACAGCATGCATGTGATGAGTGAGAGAAACTGAGACGTCGATCCGATGAGTTTCGTACCGAACTGTAACCAAGGGTGACTGACGTCTTGGCCGTGTTTCGTCAGTCAGGTTTAGCTTTGAGCCACTGAACGCATCAATGCATCCCTCCCATCACACTCTGTCCACACAAGCAGCGTCTCCTTTCAGCTAGCTACTTCAATTTAATTACTCCTCGTGTTTCTTGACAGGAAAAAGGACCGACACGCGGAAAGAAATGACTCTTTGAGTTCGAATTTTATCCTACATAATACCGATTGATCTCCTCAGCCTAAATACCCACGCATCGCTTTTCCCATTCCCTCTCGGGTTGTCGTCGTGTGCTCGGCTGCTAGGCGATCGTTGCCCAGTCAAGCTCGAGCCACAACGTGCTCAGTTGCACAAGCGTAGCATCTAGATTCCTGGAGACTCATCATCTCCGTCTTTTTGAACTGCCATTGGTAACACTGCCGATGGCTGGACGCGGCACATGGCTACAGGCTAGGTATGCAAGCTTCCATCTGCTACAGGGACAAATAGTATCATCTATAATGCAGTGTCTCATTGTGTTCCTGTCCGTAGTATCTTTTGAGGGAGGCATCCCATTCAGATGAACCATCGATGTCTAGGGTAATTCTCGTTGTCAAGTCGACGTGGTGTCGATTTCGCGACATGCTCTGGCTAGCAAGACTTTATTTATGATCACAATGGATGGGGAATGTGTCTTTATCTTTAGTTTCGTTTTATTCGATGCGTTATAGCTTTAGGTGAACCGTACAAGGCGAGAATATCTATTCGCAATTGCTGAACATAACCCACCAACACCAACACCAACGGATAACAAGAACCACAAGCATATAACAATGTACTTACTAACCCAATCCATTGAAAGGATTTCCCGCGATCAATAACGTCACTCATTCTGATCATGATGTGTACAAGAATATAACCGATAGCTTAGCTCTTTGCGTGGTCGAGTTTACGCTTATCCATAAGGTAGGCGATCCTCCACCCACTTATTTTATCCACATTGCTTGCTCGCCCAGATCTGTTTCTGGATAAAGCGAAATTTGTTGAATAGTGAGTCATCAATTGGGGGGGCTATTGACTGGGCACGCCGTATTGCAATCTACTGAATTATAGGAAGTAGTTATGCCGTCGAAACACCCTTCTTGAGGACACTTGAAGACTAAACACCTAGCTTCCCATCTTGATGCAATACGGAGGAAGAATGCACTTTAAGATCCTAAGCGCAGATAAAAGTAAAGATTGCCGATTTCACCTCTGAACGCCATCTATGCCGTTTCGTTATGCTATATGCATTCCCATAATCCCGGTGTCATTAGTTTTCACGATGTTGGTTCTTCAGCCTTTAACCCAAGGTCGTTGAAAACGCTAGCCTTGACCTGATTAGCAACCAGACCAGACCTCTCCTTAGATGCAATGAGGCTGGCTTCCCTTGCCAGCTTGTCCATGGCCTTGTCGGAGCCCTTATGGCTCGTACCCATCATGCCTTGTCCATTTCGGCTTCTCGTGATGCCTGTCATCGCCTCCTTGATTTTAGAGCTCAAATCGAGCATCTGCTTGTTGCCATAGTCGCGGTTCGTGATCAGTGGGTTCTGGCTAAGAGTCTGTACCCAGTACTTGTGCCAGAGGAGCTCAAGGAGATGCGAGTCGAGAGAGCTCTTGAAATGGGACACTTCGAGACTGTAGTAGCGGCCTGCATGAGCACCAAACTCGGCAGCCTTGGCGAGCGGCACTGCCTGGAAGCCATCAGAGGTGACTGTGCCGGCCTGGTGGTCCTCTGGGTAGGTTCTGAAAGCGCCGATGTCGACCTTGCCTGAGTTGATAGTACGGTCGGGGTCGATAACGACGGCAAGGAAAGGATCCTGCCATTTCTGCTGCATGGCCTCTGTATCAACATCGATACCACTCAGCCAGCATCCGTAGCCTGGGTGACTGTGGTACCAGCCCACCACATTCTCCTGTCGGCCCTGTGCTCGACAAAGATCAAGATACTCGACAAGATATTCGTTCGCTTCGCCTTGGGCGTTGACACGAGTCTCTGTTCCTTCAACAGGCAGTCGGAATGCGTCGGTGACGATAAATGTGTCCTGGTGGGTGTAGCCTTGCATCAAGCCCATGACCTCAAGGTTGCCGCCAGATCGCGCGTGCATGGTCATTTTTATAAGAGCAGTAGCGCTTATTCGCACATGCTTGAAATAGTCTGGTGTTTGCTTCCATGCCTTCTCGTTGTTTATGGCCTTCTGAGCATCGGCGTCGAAGTTGTAGAGAGCGTCGCGTTTGGGATCGACGAGCTGGACATTGTTGTCCAACTCTGGTACACATATTAGCTACAAAGTTATGCAGGTTTTCATAGTGAGACATACCCCAAGCCTTCAAAGCAGATGCCTCCATCGTGAAGACTCCGAATGTTTGATAAGGTGCGAAGGTAGAGTGTGAGACACAGCAAGTTGACGTTGGTTCCAGGCAGACAGGGTGCCCCGCCTCTTATCGATAAGAGCTCCGTAAAGGTACACTCGTACACTGATATCCACGGAGGAGCGCTGGAGTCGATCTTGAATATTCCATTTTATTTTTAAACTCTACTTAGTGAACAGGTTAAATGATGTATCCCTAAACTTTTACTCTGCTGTGCTTCACTGCTATCGTTTTGGTGTTGCTTTTTAGTACATGTGCCTCTCCTCATTTTCTTATGGAGGCCAGAGAGATATGCAGCCATCTCATATAAATGGTAAAAATAGACAAAGCATGTAAATTAAGAAAAAGAAAAAGCAAAGGTCAAGAGAAAAGAAACCCTGCAGAAATTATGAGCACATAGAATGATGGTTCACTTGAGATTTATCGTTGCCTGACTCGTTTTTCGTTGTGACCTTGGAATCCTATGAAAATACATACTAGCCACTTGCTCGCATGCATATTTGTAACAACAAACGAAAAGAAACAGCCAAATGCGGACCTCAGTACCCATTTAAGAGCGAGCAGTTTTGCAGACTTTGGTGGCATCATGCTGAATGCATTCTATGGGTTCATCATTGGCGCGACTGTTCAGTGGTAACTTTTGATAATTAACTGCCCGCTCAGATGTGAGTGAAGGAGAAAAGGGAGCCAACAAAGCTGAGAGGCGCTTGGTGGTTATATGTGCACATAAAAAGGATATTTTCCAAGATAAAGTTACACTGCGCCAGGCAGCAAAGCTCACAAAAGTCTAAAAAGCAACGAGAGCTAACCCATGGCACGGTAGAGTTGGAATTGGTATTCATCCACTTGATATGATCTGTCACAGTAGGCCTTTTTGAAGCGACTCTCGTAAGGGACGTGCAATGAATCAAGAACGATCGCTTATCCTATTATCCTTTCCCCATGACCTACCCTTTTCTCTCAGCATCTTTATACATTCCATTTACTCCCTGGACGTGCCACTGCGAATAGGCATCGCTGCTCTATAGTACCAATGAGCTTGAGCACTTTCACTGTTTCAATCGACCCTACTATCTCACTCTTTGACTTCAAGCAATGTCCCCGACTAGCCGTGCTGCTTTGAGCGGATTTGTGAGCTGATATACGGTGTCGTAAACGTTACACGGAACTACGACGCTCGGTTGAAGGTGGGTGATGATGCAGACGATGGTCATACTGAGGGTTCAGAGCCCAACGATGAGATATCGCAAGCGACCGCGCCGCTCACTCAGCACAAGCTGACCTCCCTGTACCTCTTCTAGGAATTTCCGCAATTTTGGCCCGATATCACAACGAAACCCAGCCATAACGACATACGCAACAATACCACGATATCACCTATATTTGTCCAGGTCCCTCTTGATATCCTGAGCCAAGTCGGGTACTGCATTAGGTATGAATGGGTAGAGGCTGTTCGCAAACCGGCGTAGCAGGGACGGGGCTTAAGAAGAAACTACAAGGGAAGAATTGGCTGAATTGCGCGTGCCTCAGTGACCACACAAGCGGGCAGGATAGAATACCTCTGTTTTGTGAATCCATCCGTGGGTAAGAAAGATTCACTGAGGTCCCGTGGTCTCATCATAGGCGCAACTGAGTCGAGTGGTAACAATTTATCGACAAACTACCCGCTTTGCTGGGACGCTGAGATGAAGAAGGAAGAGGACGAAGAGGGGGAGTAGCAAACCTTGAGGTATGGTCAGCTGGGGTCTTATACTTTTGAGAGGATTAGACAAGCTTGCAGCAAGTCGGGTCTCGTGCATGATATGATAGCTTTTCCTCTGTAAAGACTAAAATGCATGAAGAAATACAGCGAACGGAAGCACAATTGAGGAGAGGAAATGTGTATTCGTGGTGGCAATCTTAGGAAAAGATTGGCATGGAAAGCCTAAGTGCATGACTACGGCTCTCTGAAAAACACATCGAATGCCCCTGAGTACCTGCGAGGCGCGATGCTCCCAATGTGGTGCTACATTCATGCATGGATGGGTTACAACACCTGTAAGTACCGAACCTCATTCCGTAAACAACATGAGAAAAATCAGGGCGAGGGGCAAGAGGCTGATTCTCTTGAAGGTAGGGATGAGGAAGAAGAGGAAGGAATAAACGACCCTCGCCACAATGCTAACATGTAATATTCTGTGCCTCAGTTCCCAGTATATCAAACAGCCCACTGAGTAGACTGTCTGCTTGGGCATCTCCGTCCTGCAGGTTGGATAGCTTCATTGTCATGGGTTCATCATTGGCGCGACTGTGTTTGTGTACAAAGGATATAACCTGACTTCCTGCTTTGCCAGGCCATAAAAGATAAAACTAAGGTAGAGAACAGCCGCTGAAGCTGGGGGCAGGGCTATATAAGGGTCGGCGAAACTATGATTTGTTTTACTTCACACGATATAAAGTTTGTGAAATTAGAAGAAATGGAAAGTAAATTAGATACAAACTGACTGATGATCGATCTTTGATAAATGTCAGTTGAGAAAACAGTTATACAAGCCAGATTTCCATGGTAGCCGATTACAATACTTAGACAGCCCCGTTCAACGGAGCAGAAGGATACGTAGGTCGTTGAATTCCCATGCGGAATCGAGGAACACGATCCATTCGGTTCAAGGCTGTTGTGGGCATTCTTAGGACTGTTTCGCGATACATAGTCTGCGTCTCCCACTCATAAGAGCATCCAATAGCTCGCTGCATTCCACCCTCGGAAGCACAGAACATGAGAGTGACAGGTGGCCTGACAGCCTCGAACAAGGTCAACTCCATGTTGTACGTATCTACAAGAGTGAAAATCTGAAATTGTTAGTCAACAATCAAAAGGCCACAGAAGACAAAAGTGACTCACCCTCATGTCGCCTGGACGAGCTTGCTTGGCTGCCTCAACCTTCATCCTCACCTCAGGATCCTTGTAAGGGTCGACCCCCACGCGCTCGCCATCTTCGTTAACGACACTTCGGCTGAGGGGGCTTCCATTAGTGCTCCAGGAGAAGCGACCAAAGTTACCTCCAAAGATGGACCTCTCAATAGTGGGGGCATTGAGATGCCCTTCAAAGCCAAACATCTCGGCTTGAGTATCAGCAAACTTGCCACCATAAATGACTCGAACCAGGTTAGGTGTGATCAACCAGATCCAGACGAAGAGGAGGAGGAAGATGACACCGGGGGCAATCAGGGCAGTTGCAGAAGTAGCGCTGGCGCCGGTGGTATAACCATACGGGCTGCTAGAGGAAGTGCCAGAAGAGCTGCTAGCGGATGCACCACTTGCAATGAGTGCAATTGCAATGATGAAGAAGACTCCGTTCCACTCAACTGCCAATGCTGCGAAGTATCTCTTCCATGACGGTCCAGTAGACCAGTACACGGGATAGAAAGTCTTCCAGCGGATGGAGATGCCCCAGGCACCATCGATGATGATGGTGTCTTTGTCGGCGATACCAGCTACCTGGCAATAAGGAGTAATGTCCCAGAGAGCTGACTCATAGGCATCCTCCATGTCGTACCATGGCTGATCCTTGTCTCGGGGGAGTGTGCAGATGTACCTCTCGAGGAGTCTGTCAGAGTCGTTTGCCAAAGACAGTCTTGAGAAAGCCTGGAAGGCTGTGTCGGTTCGGTCAACTTGAGGTCGAAGTCTCAAGAGACCCATGAGGGCATAAGCCTGGTCACCAGGGAGATACTCAGTAGTGTGGCGGCTGTAGAGACACTTGAGCGCCAGAACAGCTTGCTCCAGACGACTCAGGTTGATGGAGCCGAGATAATGATCAATCAGATGGCGAGCCATGTCAGAGTCCATGTACGTCCAAACCAGAGCAGCGAACTGGTTCTTGGCGACAACCAAGGGGGACTGGAGGTTTCCATCGCGAGTGTAGACCGAGATAGTTCGGCCTGGGCTCAGAAGAACCTCAGGGAAAGTCCACATCCGACTTCCCCACTCGCGAAGAAGAGACTCAGTGTTGGCCTTGCCTGAGTGACCAGCCTTGGAGCCTTTACCCCTTCCAACAGCGATGACCATCCTGTCTGAACCGCGGAGAACATCTGAGATGCGATAAACATCAGACTCAAGCTCATTCTCATCGCGCATGCAGCTACAAGCGATCCAGTAGGCAGGAAGCTTTGCAGCTCGACAAGCGGTCTCAGCGATATGATGAAGAGCCATCATGTCCTGCTCAGAGCTATGGCTAAAATGCTCAGTCGAGTAGGCAACGAAGAGATAGGCAAGGTTTGTGTCTTGTCCCTCATTGTTCTCCCACTCGACGACGCTGCGGACATCTACTCCTCTGTTCTCGTCGTTGAACGGCTCACGAAGGAAGCAGAGATAGCGAGGTCTCAACATGCGATAGATCTGATTGTTACGAGCCATAAGGGATAAACCCTTGCGGTTCTCGAGCAAATTGCTCCAGACCTTGGCGTCGCCATGATACCTGTAAAGAACAGGAGCATAAGCGAGGTTTCGCTTGATGACATTAGGCTTGCCATCCCAGAACTGCCGATGTTAGTATACTTGTCACAATATTTTATCAACACGCAAACTTACAACAAGCGCCATGGCAATGGCAGCCGGGAAAGTTCTCAATACCATGATACCCCAATCTTCCCAACTCTTGGGATCGTAGCTAAAGTCAATGATCCATGTAGCAATGCGCACCTTCATCGGAGCGACCTTGCGAACATAGGTTCTCTTCCAAGTTGAAGTGCCAGGGCCTTCATAGATGGAATCAACACATGCAACATACATGTTGCGTAGGTAGCCATCATTGTGGTGCAGATACCGATCTGAACGAGGCTTGAAGGAGACACGACCCGCATAGTCTCTATGTCTCAACTTAACCTCACTGTTCGTGTAAGTATAACCAGGCTTCTGGTACAAAACAGGATTACGCCATCTGTAGATGGATCGCGAATCAAAGAAGTGCTTGCTTCCTTTGAGCTTGACAGGAAACTCCTTTTCAGAAACCTGAAAGCATTGTCAGCAAGCACTTGTCATAGGATGGGAGAGTATTCACTTCTTTCTCATTTGGACTGGTCGAAGTCGTGAGAGGCGTGGTAGTTACGGGGACAATGGCACCTTTGTTCTGCTGAGAAATGTTCAATTTAGAGACTAGAAACAAAAACAACCACGGAAGAGCTTTACCATTGGTCCGTCCTGCTGACCACTGCTAGAACCCTGTTGATAGATGACACCTTGTTGACCATTGTAGGCCTGGATTTGTCAGTGGTTGCAATAGTAGATGATGTGTAGTTACTAACCATAGATGGCTGTTGGTATTGCATTGTGTTGTGAGTCTGGGGTTGCCCAAGAGGGATGGACTGTTGGTATCCTAGCGACCCAGGGGAAGCTGGATAGCTGTGGGACTGGGCCGAGAGTGGGCTCGTGGAAGGCGATACAGCTTGTTGATATGGATGAGTGTATGGCTGGTTCTGGTAGGACTGTCGAATATGAGATACTGGGAGGGTAGTCGAGATATATAGATACTCACGACGACCGAGCTGCCTGGAGTATATGCACCGCCGTGGGCTTGGTGAGGTACAGCAGGGGGTGGTGTCTGATTATACTTGGTCTTGTTAATACCAGTCCTCTGCAGATTAAAGCGAAGTCGACTTACATTGCCAACAGAGTTGGGATCCCAGTGCCCTCCGTGTGCCTGTGACAGGTGTCAATGACTGAATGAAGCAAGGGAGAAGACGAGAGGGAAATACCATGGTTCAAATAAGCAGAGCTGTGATGAAGAGAAAGTGATAAAACTCGGGATGAAGGAAATAGAAAGGGTCAAAGTCCTTGAGACCGACAGGTGGTTCTTCTCCACGCTAATAAATCACAAGCAAGCCCTACGGCATATGTCACAAAGGAGCCGCAGCCTGACTAGAAGGAGCTGAGCATGAAGCTGAATGGGTGTAACACATGCATCCTATGAGAACACAGAGCCTAGGCTCCGATTTTGAACTATATCTTAATATACGCGCTTGATAGCACCGTTCCTTTTGCCACCGGAGACCTAGACCTTTCAGGAAGTGCAGAGCCCCTTCATTCCTGAGTCCAGAGCCTGCCTCGGGGAGAAGAAAAACCTCGGACAATAAACCAGGGTACTAAAATAAACAGGCCTAAAGGCTTCCTAAGTTATACTAAGCTTCCATCAGTCTTTTCATCACTTAGAGGAAAGGTCCTGAGTTTTCTTACCGCCCCCTTGGCCTGATATCAAGGGGTGTGAACGTGTGTGACTATTCTTGACCTCCTGCATGCAGCCTCACAATATTGCAACGGTGATAGGCCGCTGGCGATAAGTTGAGGGACGGCATATTCCGTGGAGTTGAGGCTCGAACAGCAAACTATCAGAAGCGGCTGAGTCTCGATATGTCACTCGCAGCCTCTGCAACTGTGATATTGGCCGTTGGGGGCCGGGGGTTAGGACTATTCAGCCATGGCGTTACCCGCGGCTTTGAGAGTATCACAACCCCTGACATATTGTCGCAAACGCAGTGTCAGGATAGGACGCCCTGTGAGGTTTGGCGCCATGGAGAGGAGAGCCACAGGGGATCCCTTGACCAAAAGCGGCATGCTGGGCGAGTTGAAGATGTCTCACCAGGGATTTTCATTGGATTGCCTTTTCAAGGATCTATTTATCTATCCGAAAACCTCTCCAGGATCACTAATATTCCGTTTGGCTGTGAAACGCACATGATCAGAAGTGCGGGAGTTGCAAACGATAGCGTTGAGGTCGCAGCGAATAGCAGCATTGATAACATTGAACCCCTGGTCAACGAGACTTTCAGCCCTGGGAAACTAGACCGGTCTGAGTGTAACCCAACCCGGGAGGTCGGGAAGCTTGATAATCTAAACTATATTATTTTTACGCGAGAGATGGGCCAATGGGGTGTTGGTCTTGTATCTAGACTCGTTGGTGGCCCATTTCCGTTCAGAGACGGGGATATGGCGTTTTGGTGGTTGAAACATGGCTTGGTCTGGACACACCTGATGGCTGCAAGCTTGCGATATCCCTGAAATAGAATACATACGTGAAATGAAATGATAATGCACAATCACGACGCCATGGTCCTAGATCAAAGGGTTCGGCGCTTGTGCTTAGGACGAGCAGGGAGTACAATTGAGGCCCCCAAGTGTTAGAGACTGAGACCCTGGGGAGGATTTCTCCATCATAAGACAAGCAAAGCAACAGTCCATTTACTTGGCCAAAGTGATACTGGGTCGTAACTTGCAACGAATCCACCATGTCCTGGACTCAGAGGCCTAATCCTTATGATGCCTTTGCTCAAGAGGCGACTCAAACTCCGCTCGCAGTCGCTTTTCCACAATGGATGCTGAACATCTGGGAAGTAACCCACGGTAAGTGACTTGAATTTTCCCGTTGGAATCTCGCTGATCATTTGTAGATCATCCAGAAGGCCGTTGGTACCTGGAGCCTAACGCCCGTTGTCTACGGCAAAGGGCAAGCTTGAGGATTGTGTAAGTTTGTCTCATCACAGAAAAGACGATACCTTTTGGTTTGTGTCATCTGAAAACGCAGAGACTTACAACACCAGCTTTGCACCTCTTGATCTTCCCCGTCGAGATGCCCTCTCCCAATTCGTCGAGCTCTTCAACATCCTCAACGTTCCCAGCGACTTCACCAAAGAACGTCTCCAATCTGTCAGTCACAGCTTCGGGCGCTCCACTGACGCTCATGGCTCCAGCTCGTGGTTTCACTTCCTCTGCAAGAACATTGACATCAAGCAAACTCCCGGCAATGCGCCTGAGATTGACAACCGTGCTGCCACAATGGGTTATCATATCTCTACCCTCCCGCAAGCCGACTATAGTTGGCATCGCGCAGGCTTCTTCTTGAGAGTTGATAACAATGGCTGTGTCACACTTGTCTGCTTTGGAGTCATGCAGAAGGTGAGGGAGAGAATTAATGAGTTCGTCGCCGCCAAGGCATGGCAGCATGTTGCGGCTGATCCGTATATTCTGTTTGATCTAGTGTTTGAAGCTCTGTACTTTGAGGTTGACAACACTGTTTGGAAGATGAACACTGTTTTTGGTTCATTGGAACATGTAAGTCGCCTACTTCTAATATATCATGCCCAACTGACTGATGGGTGTAGTTGATCCTTGAGTATGCCAACTCCAAGAATATCCGCAAGATGAGCTCCAAGGTCCCATTTTCTGCGATGCACAATTGCGCCAAGCACATCATCCACATTGCAGAGGCAATCGACTCATGCATCATGCTTGTTGACGCGACTCTCCACAATGTTGGCAATCATCAACATTCAGAGCAGACAACTCTTCGGGAACCAATCATCAAACAGTTGCGTGAAACTCTTGAGTATCGGCGCTCGCTGTTTACGTCTAGTCAACTCCGACTGAGCAGTCTTCAAAAGCGTATCGACAACGCCATCACGCTTTCGTTCAATCTAGTCACTCAGCAAGACTCAATGGTGATGATTCAGGACTCCAATTCCATGAAGGTCATTGCAGCTATTACCATGATCTTTCTGCCAACGACTGGCGTTGCTACTGTCGTTGGCTCTCAGCTGTTCACGTCTGAGATTCTGAAGGACGGTACAAGCTGGGACGTTAGGCTTACACCATTATTCTGGACCATGTTGTGGATTTCTATTCCTCTTACTGTCTTTGTGGTTCTTTTGGCGATCATCTGGCATTGGTGGGTTCATACTGAGTCTCCGACAGGGGAGGTTGTGCAGGTGGTTAAAAGAGCGGCGACGTTCAGTTCTTCCGGTACGAGAACGCCACCAAATGGCAATGCCAAATGATTTTGGTTCACAGCCGGTCACTTGGGCCTTTCCTTTCATTGTTGCGACTTTGTCATGGTTCTGTCTTCTGATGGAAGTGTATTATCTAGCGCCAAGGCCATATGTATTCACTACAATTTGACATATACAACTACATTGTTCTTGACCTCGGTGCTACCAAATAGTAAATGCGTATCCTTGACTGGCTCGCAGTCATAATGAGAAGCCCAACTTGTGGGGAGAACTTGATGCTCAGTACAAGTCGATATTGCATTTAGCACTTGAACACAGCAGGGCCAGGGATCTTGTAGGTGGTGGCTGTTATCTCTATTAGCACGGCTTAAAGTTCAGCTCAGACGGAAAAGTACTCACCCTGATAAGGGTTGTAGGTAACACCGGGGTCGGTGCTGGCATACGCTCCGGGGAAAGCAACAAGGTTTGAAGGAGTTGTGCTACCGGAGCCGGAGACCTTGAGTTGATGGCAGCCAGGGTAGAACTGAGCTCCGGGATACCCTGTGGCGGCGTGGAGAGCAATGAGTTCATGGCGGACAAGGTAATAACCAGGCTTGATGCACTGAGGAATGGTGTAGTTGACGCCCGAGTTACCAGACTTCATCAAGGGGCTCTGGTTTGACAGCGTCAGCAATCTTATAGTCTCGTATAATAAGGGCTTATACTTACACTAGCCCAGTTGTTGCTGGTTCCATCACGCCCACCCTCCTGAATCTTGAACCAGACCTTCTGGGTGCCAGGCTCCCAAGTATCACAACCTGAATCGGGGCAACGAGCCATGTAAGTAATGACGGGTCCAACGTGAGACTCAGGCCAGAGAGTCCATTTCAGGTTGACAGTTGACCCAGCCGTAGCATCGGCATGAAGAGCAGCAGGTGAGCTTCCTGGCTTACCGCCAGCAGTGTAGCCGTTGCACTGCATATCGATGGAGGTGACATCCTCAACAGGTCCGTTGCCTGGAATTGGTCGGGAGATACGCTTGGGAACAGGGTTCATGTAAGGATCGGTGTTAGGATTGTAGAATTGGTATGTCTGTCCATTTATGGTGCCTGTCTCGACATATCCGTGGGCAGCAGCCAGGCCAGCAGTGGCGAGAAGAGAGTATAGGAAGTGCATGCTGAATGTTTTTCAAGCTATAAGGGTAGGGCAAAGAGGCTTAAGGGTATATGGAAGAGCTATAAGCTTAAATGAAAGGGCTACAATGGTATATGAAAGAATGATCCGAGTGATGGAGCTTAGAAGCTTGACGATCATATCCTATCGTGAAAGACTGCCGTCTTATATAGCGATGAGAACGACGTTGAGTAGAAACTAATTGACAAGGGCGGGTAGCATGTAGATGAAACACCCCCGAGTATTTCCACCATTCAAACAAATGTTTTTCAATACTCTAACTTTGGGGACTCTCATGATCTAAACAAAAGCCAGGGTGAATTCCCCAATTGGGGAGTGAAAGCTCGGAGCTTCAATCATCATCCTAATTAAGCATCATACCTTATATTTACTCCGCGACCGAATTGACAGCCATTGGCTCACGTCTGACTAGATGAGAATGGTTCAGGAATTTAGTTGTAAATTGTCATCATCATCATCATCATCACTTGTCGATGGAGATATTGAAGTCGAGATAATTACCATCATTAGGAGCACGTGATATCAGAATGACTTGCAGGCAACCACTGAATTGAAACACCAAACAGACAACATTACCATAGCCATCAGAACCCTGCCTATAAATTCGTCCCTAAGCCTGTCAGATACCGTATCAAAATCTAGTCGATCGGTAACTCAGCTACCATGCGTTTACCGCTGGAGGTCATGGGACTCATTGCCGAGCATGCGGCTCAGCACCTCAGAAATGCATCCCCATTCATCCAACCCACGAATCAAGAAGAGGCAATAAAGGCGCAACAACACCACCGTGACCTATTAAACCTGGT